GCTCTATTTAAAAAGTGATAGAAGAGATAACTTCTGTTATGAATTGGCGCTATACAAATAAAATGGAATTGAATTTTAAAAATAAACGACAGGATATTATTATAATTACAGTTATTAATAGTGGCCTCCTGTTGCTAGGAACAACACGCTAACACCAACAGTGGGCCTATTTAAGAACCAATAAGACGACATTGTCAGGAACGTCCTCACTGTGTGTTCCAGGTCACCCTCCTCCAGAGGTCGTCTGGCTCCATGACGGGCAGGAGGTGACGGAGTCAGAGGACTTTCACCTCCTCCGGGAGGAGAACCGCTGCATTCTGCTGATCCAGGAGGTCTTCCCCGAGGACACCGGGACCTACAGCTGCCAGGCCTGGAACCAGTACGGAGAGGACCACACTCAGTGCCAGCTCACTGTGGAGGGTAACACACACACACACACACAAACACACAAACACACACTATTATTCATGATAATGATAATGATGATGATGAAGATGATATCTGGTCGTCTTTGTGGTTTTGTGGCAGAGCCCCAGGACGGGGTCCAGCCCTGGTTCATCACTAAACCCAAGCCTGTGAGCGGCGTCGTGGGTCAGCACGTCCTCCTGTCCTGTGCGATCGCCGGGGACCCGTTCCCACAGTACACCTGGACCAGAGCCGACCTGAGCCGGTCCCTGAGCTCTGGAGGAGACTACGAGCTGCTGCAGAAGGAGGACGTGGTCTCTCTGCTCATCAGGTCAGAGTGTTATATAAGAGACATTTCTAAACCTTCAGATCCAGAAACTAAACCCTCTTCTTCATTTTCTTCATCAGGAGAGTGAAAAAGCATCACGCTGGAGATTATCTGATTACCCTGAGGTGAGACAGCGACTCACAATGTTCATATTCATACGTGTACAGTTCATTGTCTCCAATACGAGATCAATGTCATTAAACTCCCCATCAATCAATACTGAAGAGTTATTATCTCATCTGTCTCCTCCAGTTTCTGTCCAACAGGGACAGGAAGTCCTGTTTCAGGTATTCTTAATGGAGCTTTAGAGTTTCCTGATAATCAATAAAAGTAGTTGATGACTACGACTGATGTAGATTAGTTAGTTGTTGCTTTCCTCCATAGCAAAACATGAACATGTTAACTGACTAGCGTTTTGGTAACATTAGCTTTCAGATGTAACTAGCTAACTAATGACTGATTTGACTAATGACTAGCTCATGAGTTAGCTAGTGTTTCGCTCTATAATAAGTAGTATTAAACCACTAACTGCTGTTAGCTCAGTCAGCCATGCAGCTAAACTAACTGACCCAGCTCCGGAGCAAAACCCGGCAAGAAAACCACCTCATAAAAACACATAAAAGAAGAACAAACATCAACCTGACATAAAAAAAACAAACAGTGTAATAAAAGTATGTAAGTCTGACTGATAAAAGCAGAAAGAAGCAGATGTAAAATAATCTCAGTGATTCTGCAGATGAAGTGAGGATTAAAACCCTCCCCCTCCGATAATCTATCCATCCTCTTTACATTCTGCACTCCGTCATTTTTGTCCCAATGTTTCTACTTCTTCATTTCATTTATTATTATTTTAATTATTATTTATGAGGAGACATAAAGGTTCAGATGCTCCGGTGCTGGTGGAAAGTCTATTAATCATTAGTATAGTTCTTCTAAAGAAAGCCTTAAAAGGGTCAGTAGGTAGATATTAACATTCCTGATGTACATCAACACATGTTTGTGTTACACTTTACATACAGTGAATTACATCCAACCACAGCACAAAGACATCGACACTATCATCTGAGCTTCAGAGGTCTAACAGTGAAGATACATTTACTTTTATTCAAATAATGACAACTGACTAGTAAAAATACAGTAAAAGTCTATAATTAAAATATAGTTTTTAGCTTTAATTTTATATAAAATCTTTCTATAAAAGATATAACTATAGATTTATGATATAAAACAATGAAATGAGCTATATATGCTCATACACTGATTAAAAAAAACATTTATTCATCGTTTCTTTCTAATTATACAAGATATTTGTAGCATACTTATTTTTTTTACTGTTGTTACTAATTTTTCATAATTTTAGGAATGTATTAACAGTCATGAATTTGACAGTTTAATCTATTAAATAAACAGTAAATATCTGTGAAAAAATATATGTAATTTATTTATTAATATTTCCATGTATTTAAAAAATAACGTATAAATATGTTAAATTAACTGGAAAAACCTGTAAACTTAAGAAACGACACTTAACACTTAACTTACGATAAATGAGACTTTAAAAAATAACGTTACAGAAAGAAACTAATGTTTGTTGTGATCAATAACTCATCACCATGTCTTCTACCAATACCAGCTGATATTGTGTTTGGTTTAATTTGACTTTTAATGAATGTTTTTCTGTTGTTAAAACAAAAACTGGAAAGGACCCAGGACAGTTCCCTGTGGGATTCCTGTTCTGTATAAAGCAGACTTGATTATTAGCAGGTCCTGAAATGGTTCAGTACTAACCAATACTCAGTAAGGGCACTGATACTTGTCCATATGAGTACCCTTACTTATGGAAGCCCATTTCTTAAAAAAAAACCAAGATTCTATGATGATAAACTTAATTAAAATAATTACTTAGTATCTTAGTCATTATATATTATTATATATTATGTATTATTTTTCATCATATTGCCAGAAACGAGCTTCCTTAAATACGGGTACTCATATGGACAAAAATTTGTGCCTGAACTGTTTACTGAAGTGAAACAGGAATCCCACAGGGAACTGTCCTGGGTCCTTTTTGGTTTCTATTTTAAAGGTGTTCCAGAAATATGTATGTATGTTCAAATGCTGCTGCAGAAAACCAGAAAGCTTGGCTTTTCTCAAAATAATCATTATTTTGAGTTTCTGATTATAATAACTTACAGAATAATTATTTTGGGCTTCCATACTTACTTCTTATTGAGTACCACCCCCTCTGGTGAGCATTGCCGTACGCACCACTGAGGGCAGCAGGTTCTGGACATTAGTATATTTTCCCAGAGTTACACAGTAAAAGTCATGAAATAATAAAAAATAACTGCTTTGATGCTGTGATGGCCCCAAACCATCCATTGCAAGTTCAGTTTTTGGACTTTGGTACTTTTAAAACCCAGCAGCAATGCTGTTGAGGTTCTTCACACGCAGCTAGCTTAACGCTAATAAAACAGCACCAAAAATGTCCTTGTTAAAACACTTCCAAAAGAATTAGGGTTATGTTGTGGTGAATTAGGGTACTGGCACCTTTTTTGGTCCACTCAGGCAGTGATTATTAGTTATTAATCACAACACTTTAAATATGAAACAAACATTGACTTTGTAAGAAATTAAGTGTTGTTAAGTTTAGAATATTTTTATTAAAGAGAGAACCAGCATATCCAGGGCCGGACAGGCAAACATACAAGAGTACGAGGACACTAGGTCGGGTACCAGGCAGATGTTAGTTTTTATATGTATTTGGTAGGTTACTGGCTGGGGCACTACATAGTATTGTAGGGTACAGGAAAACTATATGGGTATTAATGTTTTTGTACAAAGAAATAAGAATAATAAACATTATTTGTGTATTAGTTTCTGTAGTAGGGTTTATTAGGGATAGGGTACTAACTAGGGTACTAACTAGGGTACTAGTTCGGGTAATATGTGTACTAGAGAAGGTCATAATTTACCGGAACATATCAGAATATTTTACTTGTTGCTTCAGGTACTGTAGAGGGTAGTGAGTATAAGTTGGGGTACGCTGGGTATTTAGGGTTCTCTACCACACAGATTACTCAGCAGTAGTTATCAGTAGTCTCTTGTAGTCCTATAAGAAGGGAAGTCGTCATTAACTGTCTGATGTTGTGCTGTTGAGCAAGGCACTGAACCTGTCTGTGTGTCAGGAACAATGTGGGGGAGTGCAGCGCTGTGGCCTGTCTGTCTGTCACTGATGGAGAGACAGACAGGACGAGAGGACGAGGAGGACGAGCAGGAGAGGACGACAGGTGAGAGGAACTTTAGCTGTTAGCATCGATGCTCTGTGTATGTCTGTTAGTCTATCAATAACTTCCTGTTCCTCAGAGGATCAATCACACTGAATGCTGCTGATAGCTTCCTTTGTGCTCTGTCTCGTTAGATCAATAATGGCTGATCAACAACATTTATTAAATCCGTCAACTCAGAGGAAACTGCAGGAAACTATGCTAACATTAGTTCATTAATGCTAATGTTGCTCTTTTAGCTTACCTTATGTTTTAATGCTAACCTAATTTCCTCTTTATGCTAATGCTGCTTTTTAAGATGCTAATGTTAGATGTGTGTTAGCGCCGTCGGCTCAGGGTGGAGCGAGGGGGGTTCAGTTGGGGGTAATTATGAGGACGACAGTGAAAATATCCTCCAGTGTTTGTAAACAGGAAAACGTGAATTCAAAGATTATCATCATTCAAACATCCTCTCATCTGCCTCCATACTGAGCTTCATCTCATTCATCCACACATCCATCCATATATCTGTCTGTGTGTCTGTCTGTCTG